AGAGTGCTTGCAAGCTAATGACCAAGCCTCCAGACAGGAATGCGTTCCACAAAACGATTTCGTCAACTGAAGTGATGTCATTAACGACGAATGCATCAGCTTGCTCCACTGCAGTGTGCATTGCCACATGCTTCTCTAAGACACTCCTGGGCGCATCGGCTGCCACATAAAACTTCTTGTCTTGAATCAAAATCTCTATGGGGAGCATTGCTTTCTCCTGCTTGGTCTTGGCATTGGCCTTTTCTCTCTGATACTTCTTGATTTTGGACAGCTGATCATGCTGAAACTGTTTGATGCAGTTTCCCACCTCAGCTGGATCAACCCCGATCTCTTGCTGAGTCTCTGCACTGGAAAGGCCGTTCTGTGCTGCAGTGGTCAATGCACGCTCCAAGCGTCTGCGCTTTTGCAATTGAAATTCTGCTTCATGCTTCTCACTCCAATGCTCATCTGTCGGAATGTTGATAGGGGCGTCATCTGCCATCAGATTCTGCAGTTCAATTTCCACAGCAGCTTTGCGATCATTGCGAAAAGCCTCGCTGACTGAGAACACAAGTTTACTATTCTAAGAGACTTAGTTCTGACAGTCATGAAACAAACCAAAGACAATCCAAGAGACGTTCCAAGTCCCTTCTCGCTTGCGATCTCTCCAAGCTCTCTTCGCAGCAACAGACCGCACAGTGGAATCGCATCCTTCCATGGAACGTACTGGGCCAAAAATTTCACTCCAGATCATGGCTGCCACCTGGGCCAACTCCAGGTCTTGGGATTGGTTCCAACCCTGTGTGCTCAAGAGAAAGATTTCGTCTCGCAAATGGATCTCTGTCATTCGCCCCTTGCTAGCAACCAAAGACCGGATACCAGAAAAGGCTTGTTCAACGCCTGATGTGGAGCATCCCCAACCAAAGGCTCTGCTCAAAACCTCTCTTAGTTCCTTCTGGGGGTGGCTTTTCTGCAACCTCTTGTCTCTGAAGCATGTATCCAAAGCAGATTTCCACGCAGGCAATTCTTGCAGATCTCCAGCAGCATCAAACTTGTGCTGGGCCACAGCAAGGTAGTCGGCAAATTGGAGACTCAAAGCCTCTTCATCAATTCCCAAAACAGCAGCGATCTTGCCAAGTTTGGCGACCTTGTCTTTCTCCTCCATGGCAAAGTTCTTGTGGCAAGAACTGATTCGCTCATTCAGAGGGGTCAGATGGAAAATAGACATGGACTGTAGGATTTCGAAAGCTGGAAATTCTGTAGCAACAACTTCTTGCGCTAGTGCGACCCAAGAAGCGAACCTTTTCAAACAATTGCATGTGATCACAGCAAGTTGTTGCCGGGGCAAGCCACCGAGGCGTTTCGCCTTTTTGTCGATGTATAGGGTTCTTGGCTTCTCCAGAAGCGAGAGGACATGGGCCGTATATCCTGTCTTCACAACTGCGCCCTGGCGGAACAAGACATTCAACTTTATGACAAACTGCTGCACCTCTACTGCCAGACTGCCAGAGGTGGTTGTCTCAGAGTCCAAGCGCCTTGTTAGCTGCAAGTTCTCTTCCCCGGCATCAGCTAACATCCCCATCAAAATCACAGTTTCCTCGGAGAGGAGATCCAAGAAAGTGCGCCCTGCTCGGCCAACCTTCTCATTCTTCCGCTCTTCATGCGCACTCTGGGCAGTTCTGATGACAGCGTCAAGCGTCAAGCAAACTTTTGCAAAAGGCATGCTCCATGAATCAAACCGATGCTTTGCAGCAGAGAATTTCTCAGACATTTCTTTCCAAAGCGGGGTGTATTGCATCGCCCGCACATTGTTGCCATACATTTGCCGCATCACATCCGAAAAATGGATCTGCTGGACTATGCTGTCGGATGACATGAAGACCTTCTTGACTATGCCATTTAGAACATGATCGCACTTCCAAGTGCGACTCACAATGCGTCTAGCTGCGTGTGGCTTGTCTTTGTTGATAACCTTCAAATTTGGAAAGATTTGGCTGAAACTTTCCATGTTCACTTCCATAGCCAATTTTGCACCCGGGCAAGCCTCAGAAGTGAAAATTTCGGCTAAGTTGCCACCTCGAACATCTACACCAAACATCTGTCCTGCTAGTTGTTCATCAGGAGCTGCGTCTGCGTTGAAAACCTCAACAATGGAAAAGAGATGAGACAGCAGGGCTCTGTCCAAAACGGAAGCATTTGGTGGGAGTCCTTTGAAATGCTCCAAGGTCTCAGCATGCTTGAAAGGCGTGCAAATGTCAGCGAGCATGCTCATAATACACCTGGCAATGCCTTGAGCATCGAAGTCGGACAGCTTCTCACAGCCAAGCAATGCATGAAGCGGAGCCAAATCCATTCCACAACCCTGAGCTCGCAGAACAAGTCTCGCCTTGGAGGCGTCTGAGTGCAGTGTCAAGCAATTACATTCCCAAAGCTTCAGACGTGTTTGGCATCGAAGAGCTTCCGCCAAACAATACTTTACCTTCACCAACTGCTGGCGTTTGAAAGCTCCAGTTCCTTGATCTCCACCAGATTTGCCTTGCCGAACTAACTGCAGCGCTTCCACAAACTCATTCACTGGTGGGGCCAACAAACTCATTCGAATCTGAGGGTCTGACATTGCAGCCCTATGGCAAATAGCTGCGGCATGACTCTGAAAATGGGACTTTTGCAGAGACTTCTCAGTCATCCATTGAGCGCTGAAATTGTTCTTGAGCTTGCAAACCTTGCAGAAGACAGAGGACACCTCACCACGATGATCCGTCTTGTAGTCCAGCCAGGGGAATTCTTCTAGATATCTTCCCTTGAGCTTTTGCCATTTCTCATGGAATTTCCCTCCTCCTGCTGGGGTCTCCTGGTGTCATGCTTCCACAGGAGAAGCCAGAAAAA